AAGAGATTTAAATCCCTCCGCAGTGACACAAACTTCGCCCAGAGAGCCTGTCGATGCTGCCTCTATCACATCCAAGGCTTCCTCGATAGCCGCCTTCGAAATAATTGAATAATAGGACGTTAAAAAAAAGAGCGAAGAATTGCATTATTTTTGGCTGTGTTCCAAAATTTATTGCTAGTACTGAAAATCTATAGTGCACGTGATGTAAACTATTCAGTATTGATAGTAAATTTTGGAACACAGCTTTTATCATAGTGGAAGGAGACAAATGAGACAACTTGAGGGATGCGCAGTAGGACCAAAATTTGATTAACTAGCTGATTGTTCTGAATTGCCGTCATAGTATTGCCATCTTCTTCCACTATCTTTATATCATAATAAGACGAAATAAGTATCAATGAAGACAAACCCGTTTGGAATCCACGATGTCGTCACGAACAATCGTCGACAGAGACGGCGTCGGGGATGAATCGGCCTTCGTCACTGTCATCATTATCATCGTTGTCAACGCGGCAGTGAGAAGAACCGAAAGCCAAGACTCGCCCATTCCGCGCCCTGCTCATTTATTCTTATAACGAAATGAAAGCTCCGAGAAGTGTTAATTTATTTAAGAATAATATTTATCGAGGATAAGATAATTTGGTAATATCTCGAGGTAACTTCTCCGCGTTATTGATATAAATTAAGTAAGAAATATTACAGATAGCTCGAGGTAATTTTATACAACACCGAAATTCGATAGCTAAAAGATTCGTTGGGAGGTTTTTGCTTTCCTCATATATTATATTACCAAAATATCTTCACGCAATTATCTCACCTCCCGCGGCGACATTCAAGTGGTGGCAAACCCGCAATCTTCGCTTGTAATGGGCCGCTCGTATGCCCTTGCAGGCGATTGTCCGGGCATGTTTCTGCCTGTAAACCTTCAGCACTTTCAATTTTTCATCGGAAAAATTTCGTAGATGAACACCGTCACACCTATATTGAGAAAGACATAAAGACGAAAAATAGATATTACTCTTCATCCAACAGCTATGCGCTACTATCGAAAGCGATCGATCATAATTGATCTCTGAACTAATTAGTCGAACTAATAAAACAAAGACACTCTTCTCCTTCTTCTCCTCTTTTTTCTTCTTTTCCTCTCTCTTTTCCTTCGCCACGAAGAAGTATTTTACTATTTTAAACCGAGTAGAACGCATATCTTGAACAGCGTCGGGAATATATTACTGGCATGGCTATCGTCGGCCCGATCGCTCGTTTTCTCAGCGTATCGTAAAATAGAATAGTCGGTGATATATAGAAGAATTCATTTTCCAGCGACTAACCCGGCCTTTGACAAGCGACACGTGAGGTTTGCTCAACCTTGAATAAACCTCAACAACCCCTTCAATCCTTGGCTTCGCTCACGCCCGCATGACCATCTCAGTTGCGTCGCACGATCATATATATAGTTTTAAAGAATCGAAAAAACCCAATTTTTCCGCGGATTTTTTTGGTTTTTTCGCCAAGGGTAGAAAAATTCATTTTGGAAAAATTCACTTGTGCTCGTAAAACCTATCAAGTTTGTTTCTCAGTTCTTTCCGTAAAGAAAATATTTGCGTATAGGGTATATAGCGGGAGAAGATAACAGAAATTTTGAAATTATATAAAAGATTGAGGTCGCGCATAATGTATTCAATAAAACATACAAAACATACACTATTGCACCATTAATGTAAGAATTAAAAATATATAGTCCAAACATCATGTTTATATGACGATAATAGTAGGTCTAGAAAATAATTTGGATTTAAACTGAATTCGTAACAAAATATTCGAAAAAAAATAAACTACAAAGAGACACTTCATTAGGAGTTCATTAGATTCGGAGTGTGACAAACTAAAGTTAAAAATCTGTCTTCTTAAGCTTTGCCATGTACTAAAGGAAGGTTAGATTAGGTTTTACTATAAAAATAGAAGGGTAACTAAAAAATTTTAATAAAAATAATACTACATAATTTCATAGATCGCATTAATTTTATAACGGAATTTAGAAATTACTTATTATGCCTTTTACATAGCAAAAAACCAATTTTTCGGGAAAAAAATCGAAATTTTTCCGGTTTTTTTCCAGCAATTTGAAAAAAGCAGCTTTTTTAAAACTAGAATCATATACGTCATACATGAAGGAAGCGCATCATTTTTCCTTGGATAGTATTCGAGATTAATTGCGACAGGAAAAAAGAGAGAAAAAAAATTCGTTATCATATGCCCAATTAAAAAGTACATTTTTACGTACAAAACAGAACTTGCGGTTGATTAGGAACATGAAAAGACGCGAAAGTTTCGCTCGTATAATAAGTGTCGAGTCATTTCGAAATTTACATGCGACATGTCATCAGTTGGCCATCAATTCGATAGTACCGACACGCGATGATTGATTTTTGGGTTATAATACATGCATTATCGCAATTTACAGTACTTTTCTGACGCAATAAAGTTGCATTGTCCACCCGTTGGAGACGAGCTCTGTAGCGTCAGTAGAGAACGATCGATGCAGCTACTGGCATGATACAGCTACCCCCAGAACCTGTATGCTCACCCTTCTCTCGAAGTCTTTCGCATTTCTCTCCCCCCCTTCCCCCTCCTCTCTCTATGTGTGTGCGTATGTACGTGTCTCCTCCTAACTTTATTTTATGTGATATATCAAACTAAACCGCATTTCGAAGTTTAGTCTACAATCTAGCGTTCATTATTTATGCTCATTTTACGCTGCTCCTTTATAGCGTTTTATGCGAATTTATTTCAATAATATTCATACTGATAATTTTACGTAGATAAGTCTTAAAATTATTTTTAATGATTTGCAATTTATGTTCAAATTTCAGAATAGAATTTTGATTATAATTTATGTATATGTATATATACATATATGTACATTTATGTATATGTATATATATATATATATATATATTGTATATTTATATACACATTTTATATACTCTTCCGCAAAAAATGTGACACACTATACCGAAACAGCGATCCATATTTTTTGAGAATATGTACTATATGTGTGCGCGCGTGTGTGTGTGTGTGTGTGTGTGTACGCGTGTGTATGCGCGCGAGCGCGCGTTGTGTGTGTAAAATATTTCGATTCTTCAAATGCTTTTTTATATTATTATACGATACAAAGAACCATGAATGGAATTATATTCTAAATCCTGACACGAATTACAAACATCGTTTGAAAGATAAGTTTCTTATTTCATACAGCAATAAAGCTGTGAAACTTACGCGAAGAGATTGCACAAAAGCGTATTTGTACGTAACGAGTCGAAGCTAGTCGTGAGCAGTAAATATCAGATCCATTCACCAGAACCACGACACTCCACTGAAATATTAATAAAATAATGCTTATGCATGTTCATCATATGCACATACACATGCATTACATGCACATTTGTAATTTATCGGAGCTAGCTATTATGGCGCCGACTATAAATGACACTTTTTTTCGAAGAATAGATAAACATGAATATTGACAATTTTTATATATGCACATGTATGTAGGAGTATGTATGTATAAAATTTTAAAGTTCAAAATACACCGATTTGTTTGCTGTTTTTTACCTCCTATATATAATAGTATTCTGCAAAAAGTACATGACGAACGTTACTGATTGTGAGAAACCGTACAAAGATCATGAGTTTATCACTTTGCCAAATTTTTCGTTGCGAAATATGAAGTGTCAAAAAGTGCGTAGAAAAAAACAAGTGAAACCAATGTGAGAAAGTGTGTGCATACAAAATACGCGTGAGTAAGATATTTCATGGCGTACCGAAAGAGGAGGTTCATGCACAGTTTTAAAGCGTAATATTTTCAAAAATGTACCTTCTCATCTGCGAGTATAATTTATTAAATAATTCAAAACGGCCGAAAAAATGAAAACGTCGCAACAAAGCGACAAAAGCAAATGACAGAGACAAAAAAAATACCGAATTGCGGATACGTTGGAACGCAAATCGTATCCAGTGAATAGGATAATTGCCCCACTTACCCTTGGCATTTAACGCACCTTGCTTTTCGCGTAGTAGGATGCGTGAAGCGGGAGATCCGAAGGAACGACTATCGATGAGTCAGACGAAATGCATGCGGTTTATCAGCGTCAGCGCGGCGGTCTCGGTAGCGCGTACGATAGGATCCATGAAGTACAAGATACAGGGTACGCGAGTCTACGAAGGTCCTTCTCAAGAAGAGCGAAATCTGAATGACTGGATTCGCTCGTGACACGGCGAGGACTCAGCTGTATCGCCGGGATCGGTGCCGGAGTCGGGGTCGGGGTCGGGGGTCACCTCGTCGTCGGGGCGTGCGCCCTTCGCGCGAAATCAAATGTTCGTCGCCCTCGCCCTGATACATTCGTGGTATGGCGCAAGGGAAAACAACCGATCGTATGAAGAATCGACGCTGAGATGAACTGGGCTCAAGGATGGTCAACTTGATCAAGAGGAGATCAATTAATCAATACGTTAATTTTCTTGTTGATCTTCGACGAGGATTTCGATCGTTCTGCGGTCTCCTCGATTCATCTGGCGCGTATCCGCCGTGTGAAACTGTGGACGCAACTCTTGCGCATGTCATCCCCATTGTCGTATTGAAAATAGTACTCAGCGCGGGCGCAACTCTCTCTCTCTCTCTCTCTCTCTCTCTCTCCCCCCCCTCCTCTCCCTCCTTCCATCCATCCCCTCTCTTCTTTTTTTGCTTGCATAATTATAATTGATAATTAAATTAAATTATGTTATATTGTGTGTATTTATATGCTTTCAACTAATGATAAATATATACTCTTTAACTCAATGTTCTTTTAACGCTTGAAAGCCATTCTAGAGCTCATAATAAATTAAGCTCTCTAATCTAGTTACATATCTCTCTCTCTCTCTCTCTCTCTCTCTCTCTCTCTCTCTCTCTCTCTCTCTCTCTCTCTCTCTCTCTCTCTGCAGTGAAGAAACGAAATTCGAATCACGCCGCGATGCAGAAACCAAAGACGATCAGTGATCCTTGATTGTTACTCGTACTCGATCTCAAACGTGTTGATTTGTCGTGGGCGATTGGCCGATTTGAGTGACAAGATTGTCGTGGTGAGCATAAAATAGACAGATTTAGCTTTATAGATCTCTAAGATCAAAATCTATGATTACATCATTCGATTTACAAAAAAAATGGTAGCAATTTTGCAAATAATCGGTAAATATGTGTGCAAAGTCTACTTTCAGGCAAAACGATACATTGTGCTAAATTTTCCATGGAGAATACCATCATCACCACCGACATTAAACTGTCGCGATGTAATAATCAACCGTGGGGTTTTCGACTCTCCGGAGGCGTGGACTTTACTTTTCCTTTGACCGTCGTCAGAGTAAGACACAATTTATTAATATTTGAATTTTATGACTAAATAGATACTCAACAATACAAAATTACTTATGATTCTTTTTTCGATGTACTCCTTAATTAAAGTCTTAAAACGTCTAAGGCCGGTATCAGATTACGCATTAAAGATTGAGACTGAAAGATTGAAACTTGATCAATTATTAAAACCAAAAGAGTTAAAATTTCTTTATTCTCATTGTGTGTGTTGTGATCAAATTTCAATTTTTAATCTTCATTCTCAATCTTCAATGCGTAGTCTGATTTTGGCTTAATCACGTTAATTGCCACGAAAGACATTTGAATAATAATTTTCGAATGAAATGATATTAAAATTATCTATGTTTCTTTTTCCATTTTACCGTTCTTATTAAACACGTTTGTTCGACAAGGTGACAATCGGAAGTCTGGCCCATATAGCTGGTTTGCAAGCGGGGGACGTAGTGATCTGCGTGAATGGAGAGCCAATAAGTCAACTCACACATATGCAAGTCTACGATAAACTTGTCAACATCGGCAATGATGTCGTTTTATCTGTTGTGTAAAGTTACGAGATCATGTAACAACAATAGAGGTAATAATTTCCCCTTGCCGATGACTTTTTTTTTACGAAATCCAATCCGATGTTGCGACAATAGTGCGTAAATAAAAATGAAAAAGTCTGGTGCACATGATATCGCGATGCAAAAAACACGACATACCGTAAACAAAATAAATAAAATTAAATTAACGGAAAATACCGACAAGGCGAGATTTTTACGCTGTACGTGTTCAAGTTTATAGTACGCTTTGGCCCGATCTTTCCGGCACGCATCTGGCATGCATCAAGTCGCGACAATCAAGGCCTTAGTCATACAATGTTGCGAAATTATGTCAGCAGTCGATTCACGTGATCGAGCGCAATTAGTCAACTATAGATCAGAAGGCGCGTTCCAGGCCGTCATTTTTAATCGCAATTAACGATCCACAAACAAATGCTTTCTTCTTCTAATAATATGTGATTAGATAATACGATCGCGGACGAATGAGGATGAATTCAAGGAAACGCGATGAAACACGTTATGCACATTCATATGATAATTTATTTTTATCGTAATATATTAGATATTGTTTATAGAATATATATATATATGTATGTACATGTATATTCTATAGACATATATTCTATATATATGTATTCTACATATATACGATATACTATATACATACATAGGGGAAGTTCGGATAGCCTTGGACGGCGGGCATCCCCGGACATTCGAATTTTTCAGCGAATTTCTGAGTCAAAAACAAAAACAAAGTATCATGTCGAAACTATAAACGTCTACAACGAATTTCGTGCTTTGTATTTGTTTTTGACTCAGAAATTCGCTGAAAAATTCGGATGTCCGGGGATGCCCGCCGTCCGAGACTACCCGAACTTCCCCTATATATAAGGTCGCCCTTGTAAAGTGTTACAAGCTATTATCTCTGAAAGTGTGTGTCAAATGACTAATACGTTCAGACAAAAGTTTTATGACTTTGAGGAGAGCATAAGATGGTATCATTTGTTTGACCTTGGGTAGCGTTGTCAAAGTGACAGCAAGGCTACTTTAAATTTTTTAAATGGAACCTCCATTTTTATTACATTTTCTTGTAGCTTACCTCGAGAGCTTTTCAAAACACTATAATAAAATATTTTTTCATTAAATATTTTTCGAGTATTGTAACCTTCGAGCCTCATATCTCGAAAAGTACTTAATGAAAATGAACTTAATTATAGTGTTTTGGAAAGCTCTCAAGGTAAGCTACAAGAATATGTAATAAAAAATGGAGGGTCCCATTTAAAAAATTCAAAGTGGCCTTGCTCTCACTTTGATAACGCTATCCAAGGTCAAACAAATGGTACCATCTTATCTCTCCTCAAAGTCATAAAACTTTTGTCTGAACGTATTAGTCATTTGACACACACTTTCAGAGATAATAGCTTGTAACACTTTACATGAGCCACCCTATATGTGTCTATAATCTATAGACATATATATACATATGTTTATAGAATATACATATATATATATGTGTATGTATATATATGACAGTACACGTATATGACTCGCGCTATAATCCTTACCGTAATAATTCGACGTAAACGTCATTTCGCAATATAATTTACACAAAAATTACTGTACAATATATATTAGCTGTTGTCGCTTTCTCCTCTTTCGAGCATACATCCGCGCCGAATTACACGCACACAAAAAAATTTTATCACACTTATTACATTTTTCTTTATCCCGTGTCTTATCATTCTCATTAGGCAGAGGCGAAAATAAAAATTGACATGTAAGTCGAATATAAAGCGAGAGTAACAGAACCGTAAACTCTTTTACGTTTTATTGTCTCACCTATTAGAAACTTCGTTGTTTATGCCTCTGTTACTCACCTTTTACATTCAATTTAAACTACGTTTTTTATTTTCGCCAGGAGAACGCACAGGATCAAGCATATATCATATATCAAGCATGGATTTGGACATTATTAAAGTAAAAAAAAAAAAAGAAAAAATCATTTTAAAGATTACAGAATTGAAGGAACATATAGGAAATCACATACTATATGATTATAAGTAACGATCACATTGCGATAACTAAATGTCTAGACTGTCTTCGTTTTCCCCCAGAGCCATGGTACGCGTATCACGCGGAATTGAATCCTTCTTATTATTCATCCATACGTGCCTGCAATTTCACTTTCCACGTATGATATGACACCGGATGAGGGCTATCCCCTTCCGTGATAACAATCTAACGATATGCATGTTTTTCATTATCAGGTAATGGACAAATGTCTGCGATGGTAGGTTTAAAGTATGTTCTATGACATTAAATATTACATAACAAAGATTAGAAAAACGGTAGAACACGCGAAAGAAGAATTTAAATCTTATTATTTGTCCGTACATATAGGATATATGTATAGTCTATTTTACTGTGAGTTCAATGGCTTCTGCACACCGGACGCGAAAACGCTTGCCGCGTGGCAAAATGCGACGAGATAACCAATGAACATGTCAGGGGCTGTAGCTTATTGGCTACTGCGTTAGATGGGTTGGAGGAAAAGTTCTGCGATATTTTGTTAGCTCAAAATTATATATACAATATTTTCGTTACAAATGATCAAAATTTAAATAAAAAAAAAGGTTTAAGGGGATCCTAAAGCCGCCTATATTACCGACTAAATCATATAATTTTTGTATAAAAAATACTTTTTTTCTCTTTCACAGATTCTCTCGAAAATCCTTTTCCAGGATTAAAGTTACGCATTAATACGTGTTTGTGAGGTGGAGTTTATGCCGAGAACAACCAAAAATTTCGAAATTGATATATTTTTTACCATTTCTTAGTGTAACATGGCGTTTCAAACTGTCAAGTCGTGACAACATTTGCTTGATACGAAAGTTTTCCAACCTATACTTACAAAATAGTGATCCACAAACACGTAATTTGCAGGAACAAATAACGTCGAGTTCTTAGAATTAGACTTAGACGCTTTATCGCGACGAATTTGTTATACGAAAATTGACACGAATATGCGACTAAATGTATCATAGGTTGCGTGAGATATTGATGTGGTAGTATATAAAGACATGTCGATACGCTGGGAAAACAGCGACATCTAGTGACTTTGTCGGAGTTCGAGCTTCGCTTTAGAATCCCCTTAAGTAGAGACCCTTTAATCAGAGACTGGTCATAAGGATTTCGTCAAATTTCTCCAAGCGAGAAAGGAGTATAGGCTATCTTACTGTTCCACCAATAGCGGTGTGTATACATCATGCATACACACCGCTATTGGTGGAAGAGTAAGATAGCCTATACTCCTTTCTCTCTTGGAGAAATTTGACGAAATCCTTATGGCCAGTCTCTGATTAAAGAATCTCTACCCTTAAGGGGTAACATCTATGTAAAATTTTCAAAAAAACGATTTTTTTCCTTTTAAAATACACTTTAGGGTCTCAAAAATGAAGTGCAAATGGTTTTATTGCGATACATAATTTTATATTCGAAAGTTAAAGGCCTCTAAAAATTCTCTCTCAATTGTTAACTTAAAAGCACTCACATTCAAAACTTTAAACGCGTTTTTCTCAAAACAGTATTTTTTAAGTTGGCTAGCAGTAGAACTCAAACAATTTTTAACCTATTTATTTCAAATTTTAACAGTATTTAACAAATCACATTTTCTAAAGAAATACGTAGAATTTTTTTGATAAGTTACAAATTTTTTGAGTTACAGTTGATTTTACTCGATTATTTTTTGACGAAAATGGAACTTTTTGTTTGTACTTCCGCCATTTTGTCGAAAACCAATATTTTCAAAAATAGCTACGTATTTCTGTAGATATTTAAGTAAAGAAAATAAAAATATTTGCTTTTTTGTTCTAAATAAAAAATTACGACATTTGTGCTACCAGCCGCGGAACACCATGCTATTTCGACTGTCTCCATCACGCTGCTGCAGATCCGTCATTTTGATAAATAAAATTTTGAAAAAATTATTTTTTGTACTTTTTTATGTGCTTAATAAAGTTATAAAACTCATTTTTTAATAGCACGATTCATTAAACAAAAAAAATTCCCAAACGTAGACCTTATTTACAACCGATTACATAGGTGTTATCCCTTGAAGTCTATACTTTCGAATGATTACTATATTTTTTGAATCTATGTGAGTTTTGTAATTTTTATATATAGAAAACTACGAGCTGAAAAAAAAGGAAATTTTTCTTTTCACTTTGTGGGTCTGTCACATGTCAAAAAAATTTGCGAAAATTTTCGATTATCTATATCGTAAAAGTTTTGAGTTTTCCTTACAAAATCGTTTTTTTTTTTAAATGTTTCTGATTTCTTATTCTTGAGTTATTCGCGAGTTAAGTAAAATAAAAAGGAGCATTCTAACTGTGATTACTCATAACTCCGTTAAAAATCACCGTACTGCAACTAAGAAAATAGATTCTTAAAGTTGAAACGTTGCTCTATCGAATAGTGTCATACTAATTTTTTAAACGTAAAATATATAGAAATTTGAGTTAAAAATGTGATATTACTATCCTTATAACCATTGCATAATGGAAAAAAAGACAGTAATATCACATTTTTATCTCAAATGTACATATATTTTATTTTTTTTAAATTTGCAATTACACCATTTGATAGAGCAACGTTTCAGCTTTAAGAATCTGTTTTATTAATTACGGTATAATGATTTTTAATGGAGTTATGAGCAATCAGTAAAATCAGAATGCTCTTTTACTTAATCCGCGTGTAACTTGGTAACAAAAAATCGTAGGAACATTTTTTTAAAAACGAACTTTTAGGAAAAACTTTAAGCTTTCACGTTAGATAGTAGAAATTTTCGCAACAAATATATCAAAACTCATAATAAAATTTTGCAAAACTTTTTCTCCAACCCAATATTTTGCTGCGCGGTAAGCGTTTCTGCGTCCAATGTGCAGAAACTATTAGAGCATAACAAAGATGATGTAAATATTCGTTGTTATTAAACGTTTATAATTTTTGTATTATCTGTTTCTAGCATTATAACAGCTCCACACGAAGACGAAAACGGCTATGGGGAGAAGCGTTCGAGATCGAATCGAGAAATTCAAAATAATTTTGTAACAGAAAACAAAGCAACTGAGAAGCTAGACATGTACTATGTTTGCTGCGGTTGATCAACAATTAATTAATGTCACAGACGCATTGTTATTTTACCGGTTATCTGATAGTCACAATATATAAATCTCGATATATAAATTTACACTTTGGTATATAAATGTATGTAATCTAATTGCTCATATAGACGCTATTTTGGTTGTGTCCTTCGAGCTATTGTCGAAAACTATTGTATCATTTTAGAGAATCATACTTCCATCTTTATTCTCTCTCTACATCGAAGAGATTTATGTCATAGCAAACATATATACAATACAATCAGGTACAGTAGTAGCATATAGAAATTGATCGATTTAGTATCTAGAAGGATAAATAAATAGGCAAACAAGAGGAAGGATTAACAGA